GGATGACTCATAGGCTTCTGGCCTGTGTAACTAGAAGCTTTAAGCTGTTATTTACCTGAGATGAGGAATGCAGAGGGTGGAGCAGATTTTAGGAAACAACCAGGTATTCAGTTATGGACACAATAATAAATGAATATGTGTTTATGTAATTTAAAAATGTATTTATTATTAGTCTATGGTTCATTGCTGACTTCCTATTAACATGGGATACTTTCAGAATATTTAAAAATTTCCAAGACTTTAATTTTTTTTATTTGTTTGCTGTTTTGCAGTGTTGTTGTTGTTTTTTTTTTTTTAAATATATTTTATTGAATTGTTACAAAGAGGAAGAGAGAGGGATAGAGAGTTAGAAACATTAATGAGAGAGAAACATTGATCAGCTGCCTCCTGCACACTCCCTACTGGGCATGTGTCTGCAACCAAGGAACATGCCCTTGACTGGAATTGAACCTGACCCTTGAGTCTGCAGGCCGACACTCTAGCCACTAAGCCAAACCGGTTAGGGCTGTTTTACAGTTTTATTGCAAAGAATGTTATGTGTATGACTGCCAAGTATTTGAATTTATACTATTTTATCTCTGACAAATAATTTTTATAAATATTTTGGGAAGTATAGCGTTAGCAGCATAACAAGTGTTGTTTCTGCCTTATATTTACTCTCATTATCATCTGTTAAATCAAAATTTTGTTATTAAAATCTTCCCACTTCAATCTCTTTTTTGGTCTATTTTGTTTGTCAATCATTGAGGAAGATGCGTTATAGCTCCCACATTTTGATTTCTGTTTTATCAGTTTAGGACTATTGACTATGAATTATAGTTCCATGTTAGTAAAGTCACTTCCTTTTTATCCCTGTTAGCTCATATCTGAAATGTTTGTATACACTTTTCACTGACATTTAATACACACGTAGGAAAGTATAAAAATCATGCCTCAATACCCTGATGACTTCTTACAAAGTATGTATCACCTGCATTCCCATTGCTGACACCAATAATTAAACCTATCAGTATGATAGAAGCCCACAGGGGATGCTATAGGTCAAGAATCATGGAAACTACATACAAGGCAGCATTTCTCACACCTAGTGCAGGTGACTGGGTCGTGCATGGGGTGTTACCCCACCTTGGTGAATGATATTGGAAGGGCCCTTGGATTAGAATTTGTGAATGAAAACCCCTTTTCCTCAGGATAACCGACACATTTCCCACTGGATACAGATTACCCAGAGTGAATCCTTGCTGCCAGAAGGGGTGAGCTTCCTTGAGAATGAAGCCCACTCCTGGAAAACAGAGAGGAGAAACAGATGATGGGAGCCTGCATTCTGGCCGCACCCAGTTCTGGGTAAACCCAAGCCTGTGGACAGCCCAGGGCCTATTAATTGTCTCAGCCAGTTTGGACTGATCCCCGAGTCCCTGGTTCTCACACGTATCCCATGAGTTTAATGACATAATGTTGATTTTACAGGGAAAGTAATAGAATCAGAGGAGCTAAGGGACTTACTCAAATCATACAAACTAGTCCAGAGTTTCTGACTCCCAGTTTAAAATTTCGATCTATGGAAACAATTGTAATGCCATTTTTCTCAAAAGGTTTCAGTGACTCTATTTGGACTAGAAATGATCCAAAGTTCTGGGAGGGGGGAAGGCACCCGGGCTTCCTACAGAGCTTCCGTAGACTTGCCTCAGCTTTCCAACCTCTGCCCAAACTGTGCATCCCCTCTACTCAGATCCTCTGCCTCTAGCTCCCACTCCCAGCCCTCACCCCACCACTCTCTTCTTTCCCCATTTACAGCCTTTATTCAGCCTCTGCTCTCCCCTCCTGTTGGGAGAAGTCACGGTGAAATTGTGTCTCTTGTGTGGAGAGGCATTTCCCCCCTCTAGGAATATGAAGCAGTGGTGGCTCCAGGTGCTTGCTCTTGAGCTTTCTCGCCCGAGGGGCCAAGTTCAAGCCTCTTTAGTTATCACTTGAGAACATGGGAAAGTGTTTGTGAAGTGATTCCCCAGGGCACATAATTCTCCAGGGCACATAATTCTATGTCATATAATGTTCTAGAATCAGTACAGGAAATCTCTGAGTAGTATTTCTGAGAAGGTGGCTTTGCCCAGAGGTAAAACATCAGACACAGAGATGTGAAATTAAAGAGACAGAGTCAATAGGTAAGAAATTTAAGCTTCTGCTTGTGTGCCTAATGTGGGTTTTCCATGTACAGCTCTTCTCCCTGAGAGCTGGAGGTGCTGTTGAAGGGATTTCTCTGCTCTCAGGAATCACCAGACACAGCTGCCACATTTGAATCAGTAGACTCTTGGTTTTGATGCTATTCAATTTGTTTTTCTCTCTTTTTTTTTTTTTTAGAGAAGCGCTTAGGTAATAATTAGGGGTAGAAGTACTATGCATGAACTAATTGCCAAATCTTAGAAGTTTGGAATTGGAAGGGAACTTGGTAAATAAGTCTAATTCTTACCTTTTTCAATTACAAGGATGAAACCTACAGAAGGGAGTGATTGGTAAGTTAGAGAACTTAGAGCATCTGTGGTCAGCTGCCCTTTACCACTCGTGAACATTCTGTTCCATAACATGCCTACAGTCAGTCCTAAAAGGTTTTCTATTTTGTTCATATGATACCCTAAATTTTCTAATTTAAAAAGCCTATTCACCTTTATTTATATTTATATTTTTAAATCCTCAGCCGAGGATACATTTTTTATTGATCTAAGAAAAGGTGGAGGGAGAGAAACATCCATCAGTTGCCTCCTGTATGTGCCCTCACCTAGAATGGAACCCACTACCTTTTGGTGTATGGGACAACTCTCCAACCAACTGAGCCATCTGGCAGGGACTAAAAATCTATCCACTTTTAAATATTTGCAGCTGAAAACCTGTTATTCTTTTTTTTCCTCACTGGAAATGGGGTTTTACTGTTTGATCCTGTGACTACATTTTACTAATTTTAGATAATGTTTTTCTATCCAAATATAATTATTATGGTTAATACAGACATTTAATTTTAATGGGTGATTATGGTCAAACACAGAAACAAATAAATTTATCTTTTGTCTGCTAATGTCCTACTGACAAGGTTAAATGACTTCCACTTACTTTGTCCTCACTGTGTGCTCCGGGGCTTCTTGTCTCCCACGGTGTATTTCAAAACATCACCTATGGGCCGAAACCGGTTTGGCTCAGTGGATAGAGCGTTGGCCTGCGGACTGAAAGGACCCAGGTTCGATTCCCATCAAGGGCAGAAGTACCTTGGTTGTGGGCACGTCCCTAGTAGGGGGTGTGCAAGAGGCAGCTGATGGATGATTCTCTATCATTGACGTTTCTAATTCTCTATCCTTCTCTCTTCCTCTCTGTAAAAAATCAATAAAATATATTTAAAAAAAAACCCACAAAACATCACCTACGGGACAGAGGCCTCTATTATAATAATAAGATGACATCAAATACCTCTGGCCTAAGCAAGTCACCCTCCTTTCACATTTCTCCTTCCACCTAATAACTTTCACCAGCGACATCCTATGATTACGGTTGTTCACTCTTCCTCCCCATTCAGAATTAACTGGACCCTCATTGAAATGTCTAAAGCACTTATTGCTTCTGCTTCCCCAAAGTTTGTGTGCTGGTTTCACGACACCCTATTCCTTAAAGGTATTGTGGGTTTTTAAAAGAAGTTCTCATTTAAGGATATTTTTCCATTGATTTTTAGAGAGAGTGGAAGGGAGGGAAGTGGGGGAGAAACATTGACGTGAGAGAGACACAACGATTGGTTGGTTGCCTCCCATTTGAACCCTGACTGGGGCCTGGCATCCGACCTGCAACCCAGATATGAGCCAGGGAATGGGAATTGAACCCGAGACTTCAGTGTGAGCTGATGCTTTAATCATTGAGTGAGACCAGTCAGGGAAAAGTATAGTGGATTTTCCTCATTTTTTAATCCCTTATTCATCAAATATTGGTTTAGCATTTATTATGGGCCAGGAACTGCTTTAGACATTGTGAGTAAAGCAAAAAAAAAAAAAAAAAAAATTTAAATTCTGGACTTTATATTATAGTGAGAGTTAGATTTACATATATTTATGAAATTTACATATATTTACTAGTATATGTATAATGTCCGTTGGTAATAATGAAGAAAAATAGGGCAAGATATAATGGGAGAAGTTAGAGTACTGAAGTCAAGTTGGAATGCTAATTTATACAGGGTTTCCAGCTCTTTGTGGAGTTGTGGGATCAAATGTGACCTGAGATTACTGAGCCTAGAAAATGTTAGTTGATAAAGCAGTATTTGTTGAATAATTAATGATTAAATGAAGTTCTTGATGAGAAGGTGAATAGGAGGAGAGAGAAAAGAGAGGGAGAGAATGGAAACATTTAAATTAGTTTCAGAATGACCAAAATTGGACTTTTTTTTTACAACCCCGCTTCATGTGTTCTTGCTTTGCCTTTATATGTAATCAAATCATGTACATGATTGATATTTGAACATGATACGTATTTGTTATAAATATAGAATAACTTTGCTGTAACTTTGAATTATTAAGCTGTAATAAACATTTTGTGGGTATCTTTTCCCACTTGTCTACTTTTTAATGCTTTAAAAATTTTTCATATTATTTAAATTTGAGAAAAACAAATGAAACTGGTAGCAATGGCATGGGAGTGAAACTCAAATTATAAAACATTTGTTTGTTTTAAGGTTGTGTTTAATTTTCAAACCACATAATGTAAAAGTTGCAAAAGAACTTTGAAATGTTTTGTAATTTACAGATAAGGTTTCTGAGCCAGAATTCTTCACTTCCTCCTTTTTATTTGTCAGATTCATTAATCTGAGTAATTGGCCATTCTCCAAAACTACCAAACTGAACACCTTCAGGATGGATTCCTTTTTCCATCTGCCAAGAATATCTGGGTGAATGCAGACACAGACACAGCTGTTGGATGGCGACTTCATACTCACATACCATGCCCATAAAAACAAGGTATGCTATACTACTGATATGAAAAGGCAAAATCAAAGCTCTGTGGTTGAATTCATCCTCCTGGGCTTCTCTAACTTTCCTGAGCTTCAAGAGCAGCTCTTTGGGGCTTTCTTGGTGGTTTACCTGGCGACCCTGATAGGAAATACCATCATCATAGTCATCATCTCCCTGGACCAGAGCCTCCATGTCCCCATGTACCTGTTCCTCCTGAACCTGTCCCTGGTGGATGTGAGCTTCAGTGCAGTCATTATGCCTCAGATGCTGGTGGTTCTCTCCACTGAGAAAACATCCATCTCATTTGTGAGTTGTTTTGCACAGATGTATTTCATTCTTTTCTTTGGTGGGGCTGAATGCTTTCTCCTGGGGGCAATGGCTTATGACAGGTTTGCTGCAATCTGTCATCCTCTGAGCTACCCAATGCTTATGAACAAAAGGGTTTTCATGAAGTTAGTAATGTTCTCCTGGGCCTCAGGGGTCATGGTGGCTACTGTGCAGACCACATGGGTTTTTAGTTTTCCCTTTTGTGGCCCCAGTGAAATCAACCACATCTCTTGTGAGACGCCCCCAGTGCTGGAGCTTGCATGTGCTGACACCTTTTTGTTTGAAATCTATGCATTCACTGGCACCATTTTGATCATCATGGTTCCTTTCCTGTTGATACTCTTATCTTACATTCGAATCCTCTTTGCCATCCTGAAGATGCCATCCACCACTGGGAGGCAGAAGGCCTTTTCCACCTGTGCCTCGCATCTCACGTCTGTCACCCTCTTCTATGGCACAGCCAGTATGACTTACTTACAACCCAAATCAGGCTACTCCCCAGAAACCAAGAAACTGATGTCATTGGCTTACTCACTTCTCACGCCTTTGCTGAATCCACTGATCTACACCTTGCGAAACAGTGAGATGAAAAGAGCTTTGATGAAATTCTGGCGAAGAAAGGTAGATTTGCGCACATTCTGACTGTGCTGGGAAGCCACGTGATATTTGGTCATTGTCTGACTAAACTCTTTTAAATTTAATAAATGCTGGAAATAATTTGCACTTCTTGGTATGAATATGCATACCTTTTTGAGTTCTACAAATATGCTAATACATAAAGGTTACCTAATACACATTATTTTTATAGATGCATTTATTCCTTGATATTCAGTATAATACAGTTTCTTCAAAAAATTGTTTATGGAAGGTCATATCAGTGTTTGTTAGAGTTTTGTTCCTTTAGAGAATGCTAAATAAAAATCCTAGTTTTATACATTCATAAACATTAGTGGTTTAATTTCTGCAGAATAGGTTTTCCAACTTGAGTTTTGGTGGGTTAAAACAACTGTGAGTTTGCAAACTTTCATAAATATTACCAAACTAGAGGCCCGATGCATGAAGAATAATGCAAGAATGGGCCTTCCGTCCCCAGGCTGTTGACACTGTCTTTGCTCCGGCTGGAGCCGCCTCTCTGCCTTTGCTCCAGCTCAGAGCCGCCTTTCTGCCTCTCCTTGTCCCCAGCAGCTCAGCACCTGCATCTGCAAATCAACCTGCCAACTTTGTTGGGTTAATTTGCATACTCACTCCTGATTGGCTGGTGGATGTTGCGAAGGGACAATCAATTTGCATCTTTCTCATTTATTAGTGTAGATTATGTTTTATTTTTTAATTTTTAATTTTTAAAATATATTTTATTGATTTTTTACAGAGAGGAAGAGAGAGAAGGATAGAGAGTTAGAAACATCGGTGAGAGAGAAACATTGATCAGCTGCCTCTTGCACACCCCCGACTGGGGATATGCCCGCAATCAAGGTACATGCCCTTCAGTCTGCAGATTGATGCTCTATCTACTGAGCCAAACCCATTTCAGCTAGATTACATTTTAATATTTCACCAGCAGATTGCTGAAACTGTGCGTAATATCTGAATGTTGTATACTACTGTTGTCAGTCAAACATCAACGAAGCATCAGCAAAAAAGTTTCATTGAATTCTATTTCTTGATAGCCTGCAATTTCTTTCTCATAACTCTTAAAAAAAACCCAATAAGATAAGGCTTATCTAAGACAAACAAACAAACAAGCAAACAAAAAAGGAAGTTAAATACAGGTTTCCTTCTAATCATTCTTTAGTCATGTGTTCATTCACTGATTGTATAAATTGTTTTTTCTTTTTTAATACCCTAATTTATATATTTTCCCAGCTTTAATGAGATATAATTAACAATTAAAATTGTATATATTTAGTTGGCTGGCATGGCTCTGTGGTTGAGCTTCAACCAATGAACCAGAAGGTCAAGGTTCAATTCCTGATCACCACATATCCTCGTAGGTAGTGTGCAGGAGAAAACTAATCAATGATGTTTCTCTGTTATCACTGATGTCTCTGTCTCTCTCTCCCTTTCTCTCCCTCTCTGAAATCCATAAAAGTATAAAAAATAATTGTATATATTTAGAGTACAATGTGATGGTTTGATATGCATACATGTGAAATGATTACCACAATCAAGTTAATTAACACATCCATAACTCACAGTTACCTTTTTGTGTTTTTTAGTTGAAAACACTTGAGGTCTATTAACAACTTTCAAGTATACATACGTTATTAGCTATAGTCACCATACTGTACATTAATTAGATCCTCAGAACTTATCTCGTATTTGAAAGTTTATATCCTTTTATCAGTAATTCCCCATTTCTACTACTGCAGCCCCTGGAAACCACCATTCTATGGTCTGATTGTATAAGTTAGACTTCAAATTTTACTTATTTACTAAAACTCCACATATAAGTGATACCATACAGTATTTGTCTTTCTCTGTCTGGCTTATTTCAATTAGCACAATGACCTCCAGGTTAATTAATATTGTCATAAATGGCAGGATTTCCTTCTTTTGTATGGCAGAAGAATATTCTATTGTAGTGTATACATAAAACTTTTTTTATCCATTCCTCCATTGACAGACATGTAGATTGTTTTCATATCTTGACTATTGTGAATAATGTTGTAATAAACATTGGAGTGTAGCTATCTCTTCAAAATCCCCTTTTCATTTTCTTTGGTTATATACCTAGAAGAGGGATTGCTGGATCGTATGGAAGTTCTATTTTCAACTTTTTGGGGGACTCTTTTCTGTTTTCCATAGTGGCTGCACTAATTTATATTTCCACCAACAGTGCACATGAGTTCAATTTTCTCCCCAGCCTTGCCAATAATTGTTATCTCATCTTCTTGATGATAAACATTCTAACAGTAAGAGGTGAGGTGACATCTTATTGTGGTTTTGATTTGCATTTCCTTGATGTTGAGCATCATTTCATGTACCCGTTGGCCGTTTATAGGACTTACTTGGAAAAATGTCTATTCAGGTCCCCTGCCCACTTTTTTTATGAGGTTGTTTTATTTTTTTTGTTTTGTTACTGAGTTGTGTGAGTTCTTCATATATTTTGGATATTAAACCCTTACATATATGACTTGCAAATATTGTCTCTCATTCTGTAAGATGCCTTTTCATTTGGTTATTTCTTTTGCAGTGTAGTAGCATTTTAGTTTGATGTAATCCCACATGTTGAATTTTGCTGCTGTTTGTGCTTTTGTTCTCATGGCTAAAAAATCATTGCCATGACAATGTCAAGGAGATTCCCCCCCTATGTTTTCTTCTAGAAGTTTTATTGTATCAGGTCTTAGGTTTAAGTTTTTAATCCAGTTAAAGTTAGTTTTCATGAGTGTTGTAAGAATGGGGTCTTAATCATATTTTTCTGTATGTGGCTTTCAAGCTTGCCCAACACCATTTATTTATTTAAAAATATTTTTTATTGATTTTTCAGAGAGAGGAAGGGCGAGGGAGAGAGAGAAACATCAGTGATGGCAGAGATACATCGATCAGATCAGCTGCCTCCTACATGACCACACACTGGGGATTGAGCCCACAACCTAGCATGTGCCCTGACCAGGAATCAAGCCAGTGACCCCTTGGTGCATGGGTCAATGCTCGACCACTGACCCACATTGGCCAGGCCCCAACACCATTTATTGAAGAGCCTTTCCCCACTGAGTCTTCTTGACTCTACCAGTTGGCTGATTTCCAAGAACTCTCCTGTGGGATTCCCCTCACTGACTTATAAAGATGGGACTTTCATTTCCTTGCGGTGTATTCAGGACCAGTTTTTCAGTGCATGAAATGCCAAAATCACCTGGCATTGTTTACTGAGGTCGTGCAGGGCTGCACCCATAGTCTCTTCACACGTATGTCTAGTTCCAGTGAAAGGAAAGAAAAACAACCTCTCCTAGCTGCCATTTGGGAGGCCACAGAAGCCAGCAAAAAGGGCAGGCTGTGCCAGGCTCACCTCCTTGTGACCTCCAGCGGGACTCCGCAGGCTAATGAGGTCCGAGAAATGCCCCCTGCTGTGCTCTCAGTCTGGGACTGGTGTTATGCTAAGTGTTCAGTATCTTTGCCAAAGCAAGTAAACCCAAACAACAATATGAAGTGCCTGTAATTTTTAGGACACAGCTTCATTGCTGCCTCACTGAAACAACTCCCTGTGCCACTCCCTTCTTTGGGAAAGAGCCCCAACACATTCTAGTACATGAGTGGGTCTTGCTACCAATATACTCACTTCCTCACCTTCACTGTCCCTTATAATGGATTGATCCAGAAGAAAACACCTGTAGCAATCAGAATCTTGGCCGCATCCTGGAACAGCCCTCCCCCCCCCCCACACACACACACAAACACACAAGTTCCTTTACTAAATATCAGCTTGTAATGGAGAAGTCTCTGATCAAACAGGGTGTCCCTCTGAAGGGAAGGTATCCAATGAGGATCCGGGTAATCCTGCCCTCACTTTCCAGGGGGCATGCTCCCAGTACCTATGAACGCACTTTTACGTCTTTTTGAGACCAAAAGCCTCTGGAACAGGTCAGAATTGAGTGAAGGCGTTACGTAAGACATTTCTTCACTGGGCTGCAAATTCACATCTATTTCCCAACTCAAATTGCACACCATGCAGTTCACCAAAAGCTTGTGCAATAAGGACAACAGCACAGCAGAATCCCGACGATACAGTGCAGAAACAGAAAAATGCCTTCAAGTTAAGTCACCTTCAAGTTAAGGACGGCTTCCAACCCTCCCCTCAGCTGAGTACTCGTGAGATGGTGCTCTTCCTGATTACAGCCCCCTCTCCTCACTTGGTGTGGAGCACTTTAGAAAATTCTTTCTCTGACTCCTTTGAAAGTCCCTCCTGCTATGGAGATATGAGAGAGTTCACTTTTCCTCTGCATAAGATTGGTTAGCAGACACGGGGCTCATGATTTCCCTCACGCCAGCTCTCAAAATCTCACCGGCCCTTTGTTGCAGCAGAGTTTGGGTTCAATCTCTCTCCTCTATTGCAACAGTCTTGAATGAAGTTTCTTTTGCTTGTTTAACTTTGTCCAGTGCAATTACTTTGACAGCTCATTTAATATTAGTTTCGTGAAGAGTGAGTACTAAGAGAACCTCCAAACCCCCATGCAGTTTATTGTCTACAGGAACATGGCTGTACTGTGTCATTAGCATAACATTACTATTCCAGGGGACGCCTGACTGGGCCTCCTGGCAAAGCACTCGATTGTTCATTACAGTAACTTCCCTGAAAACCTATTAAGTCTTTTTAAATAATAATAATTTTATGTACAACCAGCACGCTTTTGAGTGCCCTTTTATCTAGCATCTAATAACTTCCTGTCTGCAAGCCTTACATCAACAATCTCCTTGAGCTTTCATGAGTATTGCCCTCAAGACACTCATAATTCTGTCCCTTGCTCCCATCCTAGAATCAATGTCAACTTTTAGGGTTCTATTATGGCTGCATTGATGTGATACTTGAATTAAGAACTAAAGGATGAGTGTTATTTTTATAGTCAATATAGAGTCAGAGAGAGAGAGAGTGTGTGTGTGTGTGTGTTTGTGTGTGTTTGTGTGTGTGTGTGTGTTGGGCCGTGACT